CAAACAAATATGAAACAGACAGACTTTGAGAAAAAATTAATTCTATTGAAATGTTTATTTTAATGCAATTATAGTTTAATGGTCCAATAATAATAAGTATTATACCAAAATAGCCTATGCATTATACCAAAATAGTCTATGTATTATACCAAAATAGTCTATGTATTATACCAAAATAGTTTATGTATTATAAAATAAATGTCTTAGATTAGTTATAAATAATATTTGTAAATATAAATAATTCATTTTGTTTTTTTAAGACTCTGCGACAAAGGCGCCCTCTGACGACCTTGCCAGTAGTAAGAGAATTCGAACAGCGTTTACCAGCACCCAATTATTGGAGCTCGAGCGTGAATTTGCTTCCAATATGTATTTGTCTCGCCTTCGTAGGATTGAAATCGCTACGTATTTACATTTATCAGAGAAACAAGTAAAAATCTGGTTCCAGAATCGCCGGGTGAAATACAAGAAAGAAAGTAATGTTCAACATAGATGTCGCTGTATTCGCACATGTTCCAACAACCGATCGCAAGAGGGCGTGGAGTGTGAAGATGGAGTATCTAAAAGAGCGGGATGGCCAGAAAAAGAATTGGTTTCACCTATTTTGAAATCGAGGCCTATTTCCTGTTCCAGTCCGGAAATGGAAACAGACAATTCAGAATCATTTGTTTGTTCTCCCGCCGAAAACTGTGAAACAAAAACCAGTTTTTGAGAGAAAAAACAACAACAAACAATTAAAATAAACTCTTTGATTTCAAGTGTAAAAACCATGTTTGTCATGAACTTTGGCATATTTAGTTCACTTTATGATGAATATATTTTGAAGGTTATCTGGTATATAACCCATTTGTTGGCGCTTTGTCCTCTTGACGATGAAACGAAGGGACCATCGCTTATATTTTGGAGTAATAAATGTAATTATTATTTGATTAATTGATAATATTGTATAAATTTTCAGATATCCAAAAAAAAAAAACTGTAAATATTGAAAATTTAAATGTTTTAATATACAGTCTACGAAGTTCTATAAATAAGATCATGAGAAACGTATTTTATTATAATTCACTAGCTTATTCACAAAACTTCTAAAGAACATCTAACACGTAGCCATAAATCGCTTTTCATTAGTCCCATGTTTACCAAAACGCCACTGATTTTTTTTTTAGGCTTAAATAAATTTGTGCGTTCAAACGCCAGTATTTCACTGCTATCTGTCTATATTTCTACAAGGATGTTTTATGTTGGGTTAAAAACTCGTTATAAAACCGAAGTTAAACACCATTATGATGTGATAATTAGAAGTAACATATAATTGTGTACTTTCAAACACCACTATTTCAGTGCTATCTGTCCATAGGTTTACGTGGGTGTTTGGTGTTGGCTTAAAAACTCGTCATAAGACCAAAGTTAAACATCATTATGATGTAATTATTAGAGATAACGTATGATTGTGTATATATATATATATATATAATGGTTTATGGAATGGTTTTAGGTAATATTACTTAATTAACTCGCATTCTATTAGTATATGAAACTTATGACAACTATGCCTTTAAAGAGTGTTGTATACAGCAATCAAAGAGTATTTTGAAAAAGTGAGTTTGAATTGAAATTAGCCTTTTTTTTTTTGTAAACAAATGCAATATATAATAAACATTTCAAGCAGTGAAATGGAATAAAACCTTTGTCGTTCAATCATTTTACCATTTTGTGTTAATAAAATTAAATATTTATACAATACATTCCCAGTTCTCAGCACCAGAACTACTCTGAAATTTTCTGATATTCCTCTCCATGTTAAGAAAGAGTTTCCTGACAATTTTGCTGCTCCTCGGTTCATCCAATTATCAGTTCTCGTTATCAGAACGACTCTAAAATTATCTGATAACAGTTTTTGTTGTAGCACCGATGAAGCCGCACTGGCTAAACGTTTGTTGAAATAAAAAAAAATATATTTGGAAAGTAAAAGTCGTTTTTTTTTTTCTAACTTTTTTTTGTCACAATGCATTAATAAAACAATCTGTTTATAACGTGCGAATGTTTGACGAGGATTGAATATGTATATATATTCAATTAATACTTATTACCTATATTCCATTAAGTAGGTCCTAATAATGACAGAGGTAGTACGTTTTGTGCTTAACACCAAACAAACAAATGTTATCAACATTAAATGTAGTTTTATTGAAGTTAGTCATAAAATGACCTGACAGTATGAAACTTAATGTTGACTACGGTGTGTGAAACTTAATGTTGACTACGGTGTAAAGAGATAATCCATTTTTCCCACACTGAAACTTTATATACATTATAGAGATACATTCAGACTCCTAAACATCCACTGTCACGTGATCTCGTTTCATTTTTATGTTTCGTACGGAAAGTAGCCTAGTGCTGAACGAGTGTATGATTATTTTCCATTATTTTAGGCTTTACTTCTTTAACTCTTTGTAAAGCCTAATCCAACTCTTTATAAACGTGGACACTACGTGAAGATGTACATTGGTTATGTCAAAAGAGAGAGTTTCTTGATAGGAAGTAAATACGTAAAAAAGTTGCCAAATTGGAATTTCACCAATATTTTTACTGTGACTATAATAGTGATTATTCTTGGTATGTCAAAGGTGAAAAACGTGGGATATAAGTATCATAAAAGTGAGTATCTAAACAAAAAGGGAAGTTGACAGTGCTTATAAATATCACACCAGGTTTGGTTTAAATATATATTTTAATGAGTAAAATATTGAGAAGAAACCCTATCTCAACTAATGTACTCGTTGTTTTGTTAAACGGTTGAGGGGGAATGAGGGATTTAGCGAAGAGGGGGGGGTAGACCTGCAAAACATGTGAGGTGGCGCCCTATTCTAATGACAAGTCATGATTGATGGGGGCGCTGTTGTTCATACCTACCATGCCATGTTGACACTAGGGCTTTGATTCAGATGAAGGAACGGGAGTCAAATTTGTTGACAAACATAGTTATTTAGCCTCTATTTAGCCTCCCCTTCCACTGATGGGGTTACAGAGCCAAAGAAAAAGAGAAAATTGAATGAATACGTTTTATTTGTCCCTTGACGCTAGTGTCCACGTTTAAAAAGAGCAGGATTAGGCTTTACAAAGAGTTAAAGAAGTAAAGCCTAAAATAATGGAAAACAATCATAGACCATACACACGTTCGGCACTAGGCTACTTTCCGTACGAAACAAAACTGAAACTAGTCTGTACTATCAAACAATCAGACTCTTCTCCATCTGATACAGATATCAACGTTAGTCGTTTGGACTCTTAATTTGACAGAAAACCAAGACCTCAAAAATGTCTGTGGACTTACAACGCTAGAAACGGGGTTTCGATACCCGTGGTGGACAGAGCACAGATAGCCCATTGTATAGTTTTGTGCTTAACTTCAAAACAAACAATCAATTGTTGTAGAGCACAAAGCTACGTTATAGACCATCATCAGATTTCCCCGCTGAACTACTGTAAAAATTAAAAGCAGGGCTTTTGTTGATAGTTTACAGTATTATTATTACACGGTTCTAGTGATAGGTGTTATCAGGTGTGTTTTATAAACACGGCTCGCGAAAGGCAGTTTTATGATGTAAATAAATCTCCACTAATTTCGATCTATTCGAGGTGCAAAAAAAGAAAAAAAAAGCTGTGTAAGTCGTGAGAGAAAACGACATAGAAACCTTGGTTGCAGTAAACCAGAAGCTTCTTTTTTTTTTATAGATGTATCAGAAAAAAAAATCTTTAAAGAAATATTCTTTAAAGTAAAGTCTGGCTTGAGTGTTGTCGGCTAGATGATATGCTTAGCTGGTCCTATTCAGAAGGTACTTACGCTCTTTTCCTTATTTTTATATGTTTCTTACCTAAAGATTGTTACCATCCGACCGAACAACGCGTTTACAAGAAAGCAATCGTTGCGCAAAGCATTGTTCTCACGTAGCAGTGATCCATCTTCAATTTGCTACGATCTGCCAACGACGAAGACCAAAGCGACAAACGAACGATCAGGCTACACGTGCCAATAACGTCGGTCGATCCTGTCTCCTCAGGCCGCAGCAAATGAATGACTTGCGAGAGACCGGAGAGAGCAGAGAAATCACTATACAACGTCGATCTAATAGGTTTTATAACATTACCCTCCTTTTTAAGGCCGCTTCACGTCCATTTTCTTTTACAGTTTACCACAGGGTTTCCTCATTTTACTCTTACGTGGCCAGTGTACCGTAATGAAGCGTATGGTGCTAAGTGGTGGAAAATTACTAAGCCTAACGTCACTAATTCTCGCTTCTTCATCTCGCTCCCCGAGAGGGAGATACTTTCTCGCGTACGGTTTATCGTTTTCACACTTTTCAGGTAGAATTCTATAAGGCGTTAAAAAAAAACTAGACGTACAAACAGATATCCGCGTCGTTGAGAGCGAGAGAAAGACACTGTCCATCAAATTATGAGACGGCAAAAGTAAACCCATCTTTAGCTCTACCAAATTCTCTCTCTCTTTTGTATTAGCATATATATAAAACGTTTTTAAATATACAATGTTTGTTGCTTGAAATGTCAAGTATCTTAAGGCACGCATAACAAAGGACAAACTTTACTAGATTTTATTCCTGTTCGACAATCTCTAAGACTAATCTTTGGACAAGAATTGGTTACAACTTACTAAAGAAATTAGATTTGTGACTGAGAATTTCGAAATCAGTCGAAAAAAACAAACAAACTTGTGTACATACACCCAAGTAAGTTCTTATATTATTGTACTTGTGTCGATTTTTTGAAAATATATATATACAGTAGAAACTATGTGTTTGGGCTATTAAAACGTGTACATCTAGCACCCCAAATTGGACAAAACGAGATAAAAATGATACTTATGAACGTAACTAGCAAGTACTACCACCCCACCCCATAGTATACCCTAGCCTCGCATTTCATAGCTAACTGAAATAAATACATTTTGCGAAACCAAGCTTGAC